CAAGTTGCATTTAATTTAAGAACTAGTAGGTTAGCAAAACAACTACATGAACAACGGGTAAAGGAAGGAAGAATCTGGACCAAAGGAACCACCTGTTAGGTATGTGCTTGGAGGAGGTGGAGATAAGGACAAACCAATGAAATTAGTACTTTGGAACAGTACAATGCAGGCTAGGGAAAATCAAATTTTGCATCAGCAATTAAGTGATATGCAGATTGACCCTGACATGACAATGGCTGAAATAGAATTAGAAAAAGAGATGTATAGGGAATCTTGTAGAGGAAAAGGTAGAGGAAGTAGAGGGAGAGGAAGAGGGGAGACAGGGAGAGGGGGGGAGGGAGAGGTAGAGGGGGAAGAGGGAGGGGTAAAAGTACTGGGTACACTTTTCAGCAGTGGTTGGGTATGGACAATCCTGGGGTTGAAAATCAAACTCAAACCCAAATGCCTGCTGCAGATCACATCCCCAACACTGAATTACACACACCCCCAGTTCATGTGGTGAGGAGGAGCCCAAGAAAACAAGGAAAGAAAGCCCTAACCCCTGTTCCAGAAAATGCTAACCAATCATTAGTAGCTGAAATTCAACCCAATGATCCTGCACACCTAACCCAACCCCCTCTTCCCAATGACCATGCTGAAATTCAAACACAAGAAAACCCCATTGTACCTTCTGTGATTCCTACTCCATTCAACCCTACACCTGAAATAGGGGAGCAAGGAAAGACATCAGGGTCAACTAGGTCTTCCCAAGTTTCACTATTATTAAGAGGAAGATTCCTCTTACAACAGCTAGGAGGAAAGGGATAGTAATAGAGAATTCAGTCAGTGAGGGGAGCAACAGTCTTAGTCAAGGGGTTTGGAGTATAAGGAGAAGGGAGGTCACTGTCAGTTTAGGTGATGACACCCTGATAGGGTTTGAAGATGATGATGAAGATGATTACATCCCTGATGATGATGAGGGAGTGATGATGGATGATGATGATGATGAGAGTGTTGATGATGAGGATGATGAAGAAGAGATGGATGGGCCTGTTGCAATACATGACAACTTTGATCCTTTCACTGATGAGGTGTTTGATGATGGCAAAGATGGTGACAATTATTTCATCCACTTATATAGGAATGGTGAGCTTTACAAAGATGCAGAATTTGGCAAGATTGTCCTTAAACCTTGGCTGTTATTTACTAATAAGCAATTCAACATGTGAGGGATGTGGTGAGGGATTATTGTATTCAAAATGGCTTTTCAGTCATAGTTGAGAGGGCAACAAATAGCAGGTACACTGTCAAGTGTAGTGCAACGGGGTGTGATTGGAGACTACATTCATCTAAGTTACCTGATGGAATTACATGGGCAATTATGTCCATAAAAAATGATGAACACACTTGTTCTGGGTTAGATGTGAATAATCCAATGGTGAACTGTGCATGGGCTACAAGGGTACTGATGGAAGATGTGAGGGCCAACAATGATATATCAGCAAAGTCCCTAAACGCTATACTTTTCCAGAGGTATGGTGTTCAAATGGCCTAGAGTACACTTTATAGGGTGAGAACACATGCTTTAAATGAGATTCATGGGTCTCATGATGAAAGCTATGCCTTACTTCCCAAATACCGTGAGATGATAAAGAGCACAAACCAAGGATCTGCTGCTCACTGTGCATGGGTTGAGCTAGCAGAACAGCCTGAGAAGCCACTAGTGTTCAAAAGCATTTTTGTTGCATTCAAAGGTGTCACAGATGGTTTGAAAGGATGTAGGGGGTTGATAGGTTTTGATGGTGCACACCTCAAGGGGAATCATGGAGGTGTTCTGCTTTCAGCTGTAGCCTTGGATGGGAACAATGAGTTGTTCCCATTTGCTTGTGTTAAATTTGGAAACAATATGAAATGGGCCTGGGCAACCCGAATAAGGAGGAGGAGAGTTTGGTCCACAAACAAGGCTTTGGAGGTTCCATACTAAAACCAATTGGCAATAGTAGGAGGTACTCCTCTACCTTATAAAGTGAAATCATCTCTCCTCTTTTCTCCAATGTGGGACACTCATAAGTGGGTTACAATGGGTTTCAACACTCCCCCTCACTTATGAGTGTCCTCAGAACTTCAGAGCTAATTGGATAAGGCCAGATCAATAATCCTCTTAGAGGCTGGACATCCTGTCGAGGTAAATCCTTATCCAGTAGCGATTAAATACCCAGTTTAGAAGAGACCCACAGCCTGGGCTCTGATACCATGTTAAATTTGGAAACAATATGAAATGGGCCTAGGCAACCCGAATAAGAAGGAGGAGAGTTTGGTCCACAAACAAGGCTTTGGAGCTTCCATACTAAAACCAATTGGCAATAGTAGGATGTACTCCTCTACCTTATAAAGTGAAATCATCTCTCCTCTTTTCTCCAATGTGGGACACTCATAAGTGGGTTACAATGGATTTCAATAACTTGGGCAATTACGAGTAAATTTATCTTCACTAATTTTAAAAAACCTTCTTTAGCCATTTCCTAATTTTGTGCACACCTAGGCTGTAATTAATAAGAAAAGAAAGGAGTATTTTAGTTGTTTAGCCACATCTAAAAGCTAAAAGCCCTTAAAAAAAAGTCCATTGTCAAACAAGCACTATGCAAGGGTTGAAAGATATGGTCAATTTAGATGGTTCAAGATTCGAACAGCAAGATATTATACATTGGATTATATAATATAGAGTAAAACGAGTATAATCGGAGTTGAACTTGGACTCCAGCCATTCTTGTAACATATTTTCAGTGTTTATTATTATTATTATTATTATTATTATTATTATTATTATTATTATTATTATTATTATTATTTTTTAATAGGATAAATTGAATAAATGAATTATAAGTCTATTTTGTAGAAGGTGAGTAAAAAAATAATAATTGTATTGTTTAGAAGAGTAAAACAGTGAAAAGTTTGAATTGTATTGTGTAGATAGGCTTTATTTAATTTAGATGTAACATAAGGTTTTTTTTTTTTTTTTTTTTTAAAAAAAAAATTATTTTTTATTTAAATATATAATAAGCTATACATACCCGTTCACCTCATTCTGTGGTTGCATGTATTTTTATAAATAAAACTTTAAATGGAAAAATAAATTATATTGTGGCATTAACTTTAAAGCAAAATAAATTTGATCGATATTGCAAAAGATAAGTAAAAATGTGTTGACAAATATGAAAATCAAAACAGATTTCTACTCCATTATATTAACAAGCAACACTCACATTGTATTTATGAGTTTGAGTTGGTATACATCTAACAACAATTTAAATTATAAATAGAATACACAAACCTTAAGGTTATTGACCATTAATGCAAATCGTTACAACATCAAAATATTAATTGACATCCCCTTTTCTTCAAACCGATCTCATAAGGAAGGGCGATAAAAATTAGAAATTCAAATTTTGATTGTAAATATGACTTATTTAAAATGAGTACAAATATATCGCAGACAATTGAATACATTTGTTTATTTGTTTATTTGTTCATGTGAAAAGCTCAATTGACTTAAAAATATTTAGAAATGATTTTTTTTTTTTTTTGAAAAACTTTTATAAAAACCATTAAACTTAAATCTCATAAGATATGCAATACAACTATTGTTTTCTCTATCAATTTATATTGAGTTATCAGAAGTATGTATACAGTTGTGATTTTCATTAGGAAAAAAAAAAGCAAACATATTTTCCACCAAAATAAATAAAAATTCTAACATATATAGTTATGTTCTAAGTTTGATTTGAATTAGCACACTAGTCACTACTTTACCCGAAATGGAAAAATGTTGGTACGGCTCTATTTAGGTGTTTATATGCCTTAATCTACTTCAATCAATAGCTAGGTACAAGTTGCATAAGTGAACATCACCTTTCACCTCCTTGCAAGATGAGGAAAAATGCATGTGACGAAAAAAAAAAGGCCAACTTGACTAAACAAAAGCAAGACATCATAAGAGCAACACAATACAATTCTAATATTGTTAACCAAACCTTATGGCTACCTTATACTAGTACAAACACAAGGTGATGGAATGAATAGTTGAAGCATCTACTCCTTTTGAAAAGAATACTACATATAGGTAATTTTTCGACTTTTGATAACAAAGATTGAATTTCACCAAGCTCATTTCAGATATATTTTTCTGATTTGCCATGGATTTGCCATGGATTCATCCTAAAATCAGTTTTCTCCTTCATATATATTTATTTATTTTTTTTTAAAAAAAAACCAACACCAAATCACCAATGCCATTTGAGGTGGTCCATTGTAAGTATTGCATTTTCAAAAATACAAGCCAGCTTGCAAAAAATAGAACCGTCCAGAAAGCAATAAGTGGCCTTGGTTTAAACCCTTCTACGCCCTCAATTGGGGCCTTTTTATTGAAAGTACACTTGCAAACGCGTAAAGTACCCTAAAACCTCTTATAATTCTTCCATTTTACCTCTTAAATCATCATAATATAAATTCTCATCCTCAAGAATAATATAGAATATTACGCAGAAAAAGTAAATAGAAAACGACCAAAACAATAATATAGGATAAGTGTGCAGCCGACCAAGCAACCAAATTAATGTTTTATTTTTTTAATAATTATAATTATTCGTTTTGAGAGATTAGTTACTTACCGACTTCAGCCACATTAATTATGTGGCGAATAGTACAGTGCTAATTGTGATCTTATCTAATTATGTTGACATTTGTCTTATTTGGACATGAATTTATTCCAAATATAAAATCAATGGATTCGATAGGTAAGATGCTAAATTTGCTAATGAGTTATTTGAGTGTTATTAATTCTAAATTTGATTGTTAGTTTAAAATTAGAAATTTTCTAATGTAAGAAAAATTAGCTTAGATTAAGGCATTGATACGTAACTCAAGAGAAAGGGCAAAATGTTCAGCCTTTACCTCCAGTGGCGAATCCAGGATTTCCAATCAGGAGGAGCACACTAATACGTAGTTGTTTATGAAAATTAAAATTGAAATTAAAACCATACTTTATTTTAGAGATTCATATTGAAAAATTCCCACAAAAATGATTAGCAAATCAATAAAACGAGTGATTTTGTTGATGCAATGCAATGTTTTAGTATATTGTTTTGCTCCTTATAAATTGACAATGTAATTTTGGACAAGTATACATTTGATCGATAATTTATTTTAAAAAACAATTACTAAGATATAGTATACTTATAAAAAATAACTAAGATAAAAATTAAAAAAAAAAAAAAAAAAAATAAAATAAAAAAAAAAAAAAAATTGCATAATGGTATGAAGTATCAAATTAACTACTGTATTATAAAATATAGGAGAGTGGCCAATGGGGTTTGAACCCATGACCTTGTTACAACAACAAAATCTTAGAATGTTTTCCTTCTACCACTGAGACACAGACTATCATCTATCATAACATTCAGCTTTAAAAGATTTATACGGAAATTCTGGGGATCCGTTGATTTATACCCCTTGTTACAACGTGGATCCGCCATTGTTTACCTCAGCATAATATTACACACTCTCATAGTCTCATACCTTCTGATTTTGAAATTATAGACTTGATTCATCAAAAGTTCGCTTTTTTCGCTTTGACAATAATAAGTCAAATCTAGTTTGAGGTGACCCGGGAAATGTAAAACTAAGTCATGGCATTAACATTACATGGATCATACAATGGACAACCCTGTCCTGTTTTTTGAAGCAGAAATTATTATCCTACACTTGCTCATTAGAATTGTCCTAACCTTACACTGAACAAAGTTAGTACATTTTTCCAAGGATTGCTTGATTGGCTGATCAACAAGACCTTTGTAAATCACAATCTATAAAGGGGAAAATGGGAAAAGGGAGGTTGAATACACAACATTGAAGTTAAGACAAATGCATGAAAGATTGTAAAATCAGTCAGACTTCTTATCTGAAGGCTGAGGCGTGTGTGCAGCAGTCCGGCGCTTATCCTCTCGTATCTTCATTTGGATCTCGTCTCTTTCACTGAAGTACCTCTCAAATGCCCGTGGAAGGAAACGTGGGATCAAGAAGCACAAGAGGTTGATGGAGAAGTACACTAGGTTAGAAACTGCTAAGCTCCTCCCAAACCAAAACCACGCAACATCCTAAGCAGCATACAATGCAGAAAACAATATATATTAGCCTCAGAACTTGAAGAGCAAACTGGATGTAAAGTAATGTATAGTATAAAGCACTCATCAAATAGAACATAAATAGTCTTAGGACAATCAGTATAAATTTGTTGAATCACCGTCTTATTGTTTAGTAAACCTGGATACTATAAGGCCTCTCCATCTGATCAAGCAATTTGTTAGTGGTGGACGTAAAACAAAGTACAAATATGCTTCATCAGGAACAGAATCATTCAACATAGAAAATAGCGCTAGATGAAGAAAGAATACATCATAAAGAACTCATAGAAGTTACCTTGGAAGGAGCATCGACTTGCAAGGTCTTAGTAATCCAAACATCCTTCATCCAATCTAGTATAACAAAGATCCTCCGAACTGTGTACAACAAGGGAACCAATGCTCTCACTGGAGGGGAAAACAAAGAAAGCCCGCTTATTATGTTCTCGGTGAGTATTTGGAATGAGAGCAAGAACAAATGAGGAGTAGCTGACCTCAGCGCATGATCGTCTCCCCTTGCAAACCCTCCTAAGACATATGCAAGGGGTAAGAATAACCCAATTGTGGTCCCCAAAACTACATAAAGCCGAAAAAGACTACTTCCCTGAAATATCTCCGTTGAGTGAGATCGGATATTGCTATAAGAAGGGAAGGCGAAGCGTGAGAGGGCAATGATGTATGCAGAGGCAAAGGCAGGGAAGATAAGGTCAAGGAGTGGGACTAGTCCACTGATAGAGAAGACCATAATGAAGGCTACTAGTTGGAGCTCTATGACGCGTAATGAACCCATCATTCCAGTAGTGACAGTTTGTTGTTCATTATTTGATAGAAAGGGATTGGTTTCGGGATTTGAGGATGGCATCGAAACTTTATCTGGTCCACTCCCAGGAGCCACAGCTAAGGCTACACCAGACATTGTTTTGATGATGTATTCTGTATTTTCTTTTTTCTTTTTTTTGGTGGAAGTTAAAAAGCTCTGGGTTAAATAAGGAAACTAAGGTGGTGATTTTAGAAAGACAAACCAAGTTTAGCAGACTTGTTCCTGATGCTTTCAGAAGCTGTAAAGATAAAAAAAAAAAATCTAAAATCAAATAAAAGGACCAGAAGCAGTAGGATTAGTCACAACCAGCAGACAAGTAATTGCCATTGTAAAACAAACAAGCCAACAACTGTATTATGTAATCAATGTATTAAGCAAACAGGATGAAAAAAACATGTAAATACCAGTATACAACTGACTACCAAATCTATAGCTCCAAATAGTAAAATCAGCAAGGATAGAATTAAGCTACTAGTTAGTTATTGTGTGCAACTTTCTTTATGAACTATATAAATTTTAGAGCAGCCATAATGATATGCATTTTTTTTTTTTTTAATTTTTTACTAATTTCCCGGCCTCTTGCCTTGCTGTGAACAACATAATTGAATTGGTAGAAGTTTTTCATACAAGTACTAGCTCACACCAGGGCATTGCACCTACTGGTGCAATCCTTGGCATATATGAACTGTTTATACTTCATACATGCTCCATTTCCACTATTTTTTTTAAAGGTAGCTATGGACTCTCTGTTAAATAGGAATGTTGACCTGTTGTGTGTATATGACAGGACTAATAAGTTAACAGTACAGAATGACAAAACGTCATACACATTACTACTAATCGTTAACAAATTAAGTGTTATGCTGGACATCATTTAGTTAATAAATACAAACATCAGTGTTTATCTACTACTTCTATATGAGCAGAATGCCAGCTACAGCCTAGTAGAGAGGCATGATGCCCCACGTATTGCTGTGAGCTATTAATATATTCCGTAAGTAATAGTTATGCATTTCATAACAAATACTAATAGTTTAGACATGAATTGGCTGATAAACGAAGACTAACGATAAAACTCAAACTAATGCGATCAATTAACATATAACATTAAATACCAAGCTTATCAAGCCAAAATTTCCTCTATGAAATATACATACAACTGAAATTATACATGACCACAGACACATAAAAATTTTACCCAACAACTATTACAAAAAAAAAAAAAAAAAAAATTGCAAGTACAAGTTATCCCACAAGAAATAATAGTATAATACAATACAACTAAATAATTAAATACGTAGTATGTGCGCCGAATAGCACCGCCAAATAATTTTTATTTTTTTTACAAAAATACACTTGTATTTATCTTGACACCCTCAAAGGCTCTTAACTATCAAGTCCATACTAGTATACTACTCACTTTGAAAATTATCACACAAGTATTCATAAAATAAAAATAATTACCAAAAAAAAAAAAGAAGTTATATTGAATGCAATAAATAATTAAATTAATGAATTACTTCGTATTAGATTAAGAGAACAAATGAGTCGCATTGGCCGAGTGGTTAAGGCGTGTGCCTGCTAAGTATATGGGGTTTCCCCGCGAGAGTTCGAATCTCTCAGGCGACGATTTTTTTCCCTTTTTCATTAAATGGCAATTTTAACAAGTTTCAATAAGAATTCCGAAAACATAACTGCACGAAGAAAGCTGACCGGCTTTGCCTACGGCAAAAGATGGAGAGTTTGTGTACGATAAACTATAAATTCATTCGAATTCTCCCACAATTATACTCCTTATTGCTCATTCGATAACATAAAGAAAGCCGGATAAACTAGCTCCAAAGTATTTACTTCGTATATAGCTAGAAGGAGCAAAAAAATTGAAGTTCAAATCAAAAGACATTGACCAAATTTAATAAAGAGACATAACATAGTTATACTAACACAAAAGGAAAGATAATGAGAGTGAGATTGAACTTACTAGTAGAGTAAAAAGATGATGCAGAATACTGCCTATTTCCCAAATGCAATCCAACGTGCGTGCAGTGAGAATGAGGGAGTCGAGAGAGAAAATTAATGGAAAAGTTGGATTTACGCATCACAACATTTCTACGTGTAAGTCTTTTGCAGCAATAGAACTGTGCTTATAATCCACGTGGCATCCCAATATTTTGCTTTTGGAATATACTTTATTTTATTTGGCAAGCTTAATTGATGAGAAGGTGTATACATCATATTCTCTCTATCCCTATTTTTTTGCCTCATTTGATTGTGCGCGGTCTTCAAAATGCGTATTAAAACGTTTATATCTTTATTTTTATAAATATAAAAATATAAAAACATGATATTAATAAAATATACAATTAGACGAATCTAACAAGACCACTCATGACTATATTATCTTTTATAGATTAACGGTAAATTATGATTAAAGTTTTTAAAGTTTGACTCAAAAAGTGACAATGGAGCAAAAATAAAGGGACGGAGAGAGTATTAATTAGGCTGAAGTACTCTAAAATAAAGATGCACTCATTTATAAAAGCTAGAACGACCCTCAAAATGAACCTGATCAAGAAGGGCTCTACATAGAGCATAAGGCTCTTTCATAATCCAGATAAAGTGTCCAGACCAAGGTGGCACAAATCTGAATTTCAAGGGGTTGGAATCAATGCAAAGCCGTGTTTCTAGTACACTTACAAAGATTGAGGTTCCAGACCCAAAGAGTTCAAATTATACATGTTATTTTCCTTTAATTTATTTTTTTAATTTTTTTGTAAGGGCAACATGTTATTTTCCTTGTATACAGTGTGTTATTAACTTATTATTGTTACCATTGAAAATGTACTATTTTCTTTAGTTTTGGTTTTTACACAAATTTTTGTATGCGGCTGGCCACATGGTGCGGCAGGGGTTAATTATATGGTGTTACTGGGTTTGTCAAGTTTTACTTGTAGGTGTTACTTGTATTATGGGGTTACTTGTATGGGTATTACTGGTTTTGACCCCTGCCACACCATGTGGCCAGCCACACTGAAAAAGCTCTGTGGTTTTTAAGTTATGATTGTATGTGTATAAATATTATTCTCATGGTTTTTTTTAAAAAAAATCATAATAATGACATGATTGTTATTCCAGCATGTGCTGGATTTTTTTTAAAAAAAATTGGATCACAAACTATTCATAACGGGCAGATATTATGTCCGTTACAAATATCGGATTTTTAGCAACGGACACACGTTTTGCCTGTTACGAATAACTACTTATTTGTAACGGGCATGCGCCCATTACAGATAACTTGGCCGCTGCCCGTTACGAATAGATGGTTATGTAACATCTTTACTTGCTCCTAAAGATGAGTTATGATTTTCCAACTAAGGGATGTTTTAATTTAATTACTCCCTCTGTGCTTTTTTAGGTGTTACAGTTTGACTACCACATAGTTTTAGGCAATTTAATTGACTTAAATAAAATAAGAGGTAAGTGGGGTAGTTGGAGTATTAAAAAATTGTAAAAGAAATATAGTAGAGTTAATATTTTATTGAAAAGTAATGAATGTGAGAGGAAAAATATAATAATAAAAAAAAGGTAGTATTGGGTTTGAGTGGGGAATATGAGAGGAGAGAGAATATATATATATATATATATATATTTCCTCCGTTTCTTTTTTGTTGACACGTTTCTTTAGTCATATTTGTCAATGCACTTATTAAATCATTAATATCTTTAATTAACAATAAACAAAAATTATGAAAAGTTTTGAAAGTATATAACGTGACGAATCTAACAAGATCCCACATGACTATATTTTTCATTACGTGTAAAGTACAAAACATGATCAAAAGGAGGTATGTGAATAGTGCTAAAGTCAAAACGTGTCAACTAAATAAAAATGGAGGTAGTATATATATATATTTTTTCTTTTTCTGCAGAGTGTAGGATTAACGTAGGAGGACGATCTTGCCTATTGGAAATCTGAGTTCTCCAAAAAGGTAATAACTACAATATTAACTTAAATAATTTGTATTGGGCTTTACAATTATTTAATCCAAATGTAAGTAGGTTTCCTAATGTATTGGGTTAACTAATAAATATCAAAAATTGTTATAGACTCCTAAGCCAACTGCTATAAATACTAACAATACGTATTGTTTTATTGTATATCTCCTAGGGCGAAAGAGACGAGTGTTCGTTATTGTTGATCGATGGGATTAGTATCAAGCAAGACATATATAAATAATTAATTTATGATATTTTGATATTTAGGTTTCTATTCGAATTGTAAATTCTTGAAATTGTTTTGTGTTGTTATTTCAATTCTTAGTAAATTATTGGGTTTAATACCTAATTTAACTAATTAGCGGATTTATTAGTTATACGTGCTCTATTATATAAGTTATGTTTGTTAGTGGATTCATGATAATGGCTACATATTGCCGATGATGGAGTTGATCGTGAAGTGGGGGCAAAGCCTAGACCTGTTTAACTTGATCAACCATGAGGAGAATTTAGAGATGCTGGTTCTAATATTTAACTAGTGTGTATCCTTATAATTGTCCAAACACTATTCATTAAAAAACTTGTATACATTAATGAGGGTATATATATAAATACACATTTTATAGGGTATAATTGGCATTACACTATTCATAAGAGTAATTTACTACTTTTTATAAGTTAGGGATAGGGATATATTACACAATAATAAGTTAGTATTTTCATTATTACAAAAATAGACTCGTTGTAAAATAAAAATTTAATAAGGAACAATAAAGAAGACAAGTAAACTAGGGATAATAATAAATCAAGGTTCGAGTTCGGCTCGGTTAACGCTTAGTTAAAGCACGGCTCAGTCAAAGTTCAAATTTTAAGGCTTGAACTCGGTTTGAGTTCGAACAAATTTAAACGATCACGAACCGATTGACCATAATTCGTGTCCGGCTCGCCCAATTAGCACCCTAGTTACGAGTAATATGTAATGGAGGGAGTACTTGTATAATACGAAGTAGTATACTGTATATAGCAATTTAATAATATTTGTAATACGTACAGTACTACATTAATCCAGGTAATAATGTAATAGTAAGAGTCAAAAACCTCGAAAAGAACCCAGAACGTTAGACAAAAGAGTCCAACAACCACCAACCACGTGTCAAAAAGTTGTAATAGATCCCCAAATTTAACTCCTCCCCAAATTCAAATTTAACACTCCATATAACTCCTCCCCAAATTTAACACTCGCGCCGTTTACGTTCACTTCTTTCTTTCTCTCTCTTACATTTCTTTCTCTCTCTTCAACGCCTCTTTCCCACCTTTGATCCCTCCACGTGTCCTCTCCTCCTTCTCCCGCCTTCCCTGATCTATCCGTTAACCCTAACCCCCCTTTAGCTTCTCCCCCCTTTCTCTCTCCTCCCAAAAAAATTCCAAAAATAAAAAATTAAAATAATAATAATTAAATAATGGGGAAGCTAATCTGCGACACCGCCACCGTAACGGATACATTACCACCGCAAACTCCACCGTTGATCACTTGGAGGGACCCACCAGCTACAACCACAGCCGTTGATTTTCCATCGACGTCATGGGATGACGTCACAGGGTTAGAAGATCAACAAAGGAAGAGTCTTTCTCGGTTGCAGGCAAAGGGTGTTTTGTGGAAGCATCCAGAAGATAAAAGCCTACCTCCGGTGGTTTTCCGGCTGAGTCACGGCGGCGATGTTGACGCCGACGGAAACTGTCTATTCTCGGCGGCGGAGAAGGCGGCGATGTGGGGTCTTCGAGAAGGGGAGTGTGGTGGGGCCAAAGAGTTGAGGAGGAGAACGGTGAAGAGATTTGAACAAGATTTTGAATCGGCGGAAAAAGAGGAGAGAGAAAGAGTGGAGATTGTGATTAAGAATTTGTATTCACCTGATCTTAAATTTGGGTGGGGGATTCATATTGTTCAAGAAATTAAATTGTTGGCTAACAAATCTGATCGTCAGATCTTGGATGATGCTATTCTTGAGCTTCTCAATATTGGCATGCTTAGGTAATTTTTTATTAATTTGATTGTTTGTTGATTATTTTGATTGGAATTTGTGATTGATTTTCTGGGTTTTTTTTTAGCTCCCTCGATGTTGACTTTTGCATGCTGTATTTGATTTGAATTTTCTTTTTTTTTTTAAAAAAAAATAAAAAATTTATGTGGATCTGTTCAATTGGAATTTGCACACAACGGTAATAATCTTTTTAAAATATTTTCATTTTTCTGGGTTTTTTTTTGGATAATATTTTCATTTTCCTGTTTTTTCAGTTAATTTTTATTTTTTTAAAATTAGATCTGTTTTACTGGGATTTTTTATTTATTTTTTTATATAAAAATTTTGCATACAATTTTTTAAAAATATTGTCCTTAACTTTTCCTCCTGTAAATAAATTGAAGCAATTTCATCAAAAAAAAAAAAAAAAATCGAATATTACATATTTACAATTTACATGCCAGTTTAAATAGTTATGGTGGTACGGAGTAATATGTCTTGTTATTACGGTAGCTGTATGTTATGTTGATTGCTGTAGAATATAGAGTTATAATATGCTGCTTCTTCATTTGATTTCAATAGCGTTTGATTGAAGGCCAAATTGTTTTGTACTGTATTCAAAGTTACATTAGCTGTAGTTTTGTAGTCATTTTGGCTGGACAAAAGTTTGTTGCCTATGTTTATGGGGTTGTATTGGTGTTTGTTTTTTTTATTGAAGAGAAACGGCGGCAGAATCTATTTACAAAGAGAGGTGTATTGCAGTGGACGACGGTCCGAGTTGGTCCAAATACATGTCTATCTCTGGTTCTCCTGATGATGAGTATGATATCATCACATTGCAATATACTGAGGAGGGTTTATTGACTGTAGATGAAAATAGAGAAGGTCGTGCCGCCGCCTTTGGGGATGATATTGCCATTGAGTGCCTTTCAACAGAGTTCAAGAGAGAAATTTTTGTGGTAAGATTATGATTCCATGAATCTGTTGTGAAGCTTATTATTGATCACTCATTTTGTTAATCATTCAATGATTGGTTTGAATTGCCCTCATTGCATATCACTTTCCTTTTCCCTTCCCCCACCCGCCCTACCATCAACCAAATAATGCGGTTCTATACATGAAATGATGGAATCAAATCAATTAATAATGTTCATAGGTGTTAGGTTGCCTTGGTTTTTAATATTGTAATCGAAGATTTATCCTGTTTATTATGGAATTTTAACTATACTATAATCATATAATGCATATACGCTGAAGATGGGTCATAAGAAATAACCTTCTTCTATATGGATGCTCCCAGAAAATCTGTTGCTGTCTAGATGAATGCCCAATTGGATTTGATATTATATTACTAAGTTGAAGATAATTACTTGTGGACTTTAGGTTTTACTTTTAACCATGTCATTGGAGAATTGCAAGGTTTATGATATGCCTCAGCATTTTTATTATTATGCTTAGAGGGTAATTTCCTGTTTTGGTGTGCTCATACATTTTGCTTCTATAGATTCTCTTCCAAGCATCTATAGACATGAAGAGGTTTGTCTATTGCCGTTAAATCCAAATACCCTTCATCATGTTATAATTTTAGTTATCATTTTGTATATTTTTAACCCTGCTCCTGTAGTTACATTCCTTAGACAGTATAAAAAGGCCCCTATTGAAGCTGGAAAGCCGTTGTTGGCTCACTCCTGCTTACAAATGTTGGTTCCCAATCACATGTGATTTTTGGGGAGAATGTTGTATCGTATTTCCATGTTATGATTATGCTTACATTTTGGTAATCTTGGTGAATTCTAATCTCGGTCTTATTTCCATGTTATGCTTATGCTTATGCTTGCATTTTGGTAATCTTGGTGAACTTCATCTTTTAGGTGTCACATTCTATATTTAGTAGTTAGTATAGGTAGTTGTACAACAACACAAAACTTTAGTCCCAAAATAATTTGGAGTCGGGTAACATGAATCGTCATAAGGACCGTCTGATATAGAAAAAGGGACATAACGAGAAAGTCAGTTGAAAGTATTTGAAAAAAGGCGTGTGCAAAATGAGAAAAAGAAGAGCCTCCCAAGTAAAAATTTAGAGATTTTTAAAAGAGAACCCAGAATTAAAATTCAAGAAATTTAGTGGTAAAAACGTGCGAGTAAAAAAACATAAATGTTTGAGAAAACTTTAGCAAAGGGAATCAATTAAGTTTTATCCAATTTGAGGTTGTATATTGGTAAATTCCATATTAGGCGTGGCCCTGTTTTCAACATCCCCAGTATATGGAATCGTAAAGGAGGTAGAAAGGTCATGTCACTTTTTTTATTTTTTAATCACGGTCTCCCTTTCATGCAAAGTCAGAATACTCAGAACCCAGTTTTATGTTACACATGGGCATCAAAGAACCTAGCTCAACATAAATGATTACTGCTTAGTTGATGCATTGACTCAAAATAGTATTCTTGCCTTCAGACTTATTAGCTTGCTCCCTCCCCAAAATGCTAGAAGTTGGAATCGCTTCAACCAGCTGTTGCATTCGCAAAGTGTGCTTTATTATGCTGTAGCTCACATAGCTACGGAACTCTAACTGAACAGTAGAATGTGACAATTGCTTGAAGCCTTGAACACCAATACCTTGTTGTTCAGGGTGCATATAAACTTGACTGCTTAAGGTTTGACTGTTTGCAGCTAGTATGATACTATGATTTGCATTTTCCCTTTATTTTCTCACATCTAGTGCCTGCTTGCTCATTCAAAGCTTGCAATTTACTTTGTTGTTGTAGGTGCAAGCTCATGGATCAGATGCTATGGTTGATGAAGACAACTGTGTTTTCTTCCTTCCACACCGCCCAAGGGGTGGTGAAATTACTGGACCTCCGCTCTTCCTCTTCATGAAAGGGACAGGTAACAGATAGTATTTCTTAGTGTTGCTAATTTTCTCTCTCTCTTTTTTTTTTCATAATTCAAGAAAAGTTGCTTCATACACCGTATTGTTCAACACAGGTTGGTGTGGTGCTGGAGCTGATCACTATGAGCCCTTGATCGCCCATCCTTCTTCCTCCGTCTCGCAGGAGAAGGTTGGTTTTGTACTGTGAGAAGTAATATTTATGTTAGCTAAGCAGTTTTGTGGTAGAGGTTGGACTAGGAGAAGCAGCACCAGCTCTCAATATTCCTCCCAGAACGATAGCAGTAGACTTAGTGGGTGCCCATTCTTTTGGTAGGCTGTAGAGTGAGAAATTTTTGTTATCCGGGGGTAGTTTCTATCCGATTCTTTTGCATTCAAGACATGAGATTCAGTCAGTTCTGAGTTCTGAGGCTGATTTTTGCACCGTGTTGGGCTCTATGCTCTTGAGTAAACCCCATCCCCATGAAAAATGTAATTGTTCTAGGGAGGGGTGTTCGTTTTACTTTATTGAGTTTGTTGTGATTCAATTTTTTTGTATGTTTTGTTCCTTCCCATTTCCGAGGCAAAACTCTTGTAATTTTGTGACTCGAATGATCTACACAATCCTTGTGTAAAGGAGCTGAACTCCATTTCTTTTATGGCACAGAATTTTGTTTAAGTAAGAGATGGAAATCTCCAATAAATTTGGCTTACTGAAGTTTATCGTTTAAGGAGAAACTTATCAGTCAATACAAAATGATGTCGAAGTTTTCATGATCACCTTTCCTCGTTCTTACGACGAAGTATACTCCGTATTGTCTTGGAAGAAAACTTATCAGTTGATACAGAAGCGTTGGCGATGAAATTTTCGTCATGGTCACCCATCTTGGTTATGATGAAAAGGTTGAATTTGACAAACAAGAAGTCGTCAAGCTTGACCACCAAAAAGCGCATTTCAAAAGTGTTCAGGTTTTATGGCAGCCTCTTTTGGTGATGTTGATATGTAAAGGAGCCTGGCTTCATCAAATATTAGTGTGTGTTTTTTTAAGTCAACGATGTAAGCAGTCCTTGTGTAAGAAACATTTGTAATTGTTCAGGTCAATTCTATTGAGACTTTTTGGTTAATCATTTGGTCAATTTAAGGCCATAGTCCTTAATTTTAACTGTACAGGCATTACAGTACAGTCAATTTAATTGATGAGTTCTACAAACAAGGAAACTTTGGTTTTCACTTGATTCATCATTTATGTATGAAGTCATGTTTCACCCATGCCATTAATTTAATTTTTGCATTATTCAATTATTTACTTTGACTATAAGTTTTCTTGCTTATAATTAAAATTAAAAAAAAATGATTTAGTATAAATGGAGATTGTTTTTTATTTTAAATAACAAATATATTGATTATACAAAGTAGAAAGTTAATATATGTCTGTGTCAGAAAATGTTACTAGTTGGATACAAAACAATACTTCATTTGTATTTAAGTTGTGAATCTTGTAAAGTGTGAGTTCACCAAAATTCAATCATGCTAAGAATTTCAATTTAAACTTTTTGACAGAAGAAAACTTTTTGACAAAACAAACACACGACAATTTTATTAAGGAGCTAGAGCTTCCAAAGTTCCAAACTAGCCATTACATAGCAATGGATATCTTGAGGATATTCCTCAAGCCATACCCTCAAATTGTGTGGACGAGAGGGGGAGGGGATTTAAAGTTAGAATGAATGACATGTTTTCAACATATATACAACGGTTGAGGAGACATTTTACACGTCCATCACGTAATATTAGGTTTTTAACATGACCATCACGTACTAAGTTTTGTTTGATTTGAAACCAAACTTCATACAAATTTGTCAAAACTAATTAAATGATACATTAATATGTGAGACACATGCAGAGATTTAAACGACACTTACATGTCCATCACGTAATATTAATTTTTTTTTTTTTTTTTTTTTTTTTTTTTTGAGAACAAGTAGACTAGTGCATATTATTAATCGATGGACAAATTGTCCACAAGTACATACGACGACACTTCTTTGGGACAATGATTGACCCAAACTTGTTCGTTACCAAAAGGCACTAGTCTAGCGAGATGGTGAGCAACAACATTCTCATCCCTCCTAACATGAGACCATGACACAAAATCAAGGTCCTTACAAAAAAATTAAGTATTTGATACATCTATTATGCATCAAGTTTGTTTTGATTTGAAACTATGTTTTGTACAATTTTATGAATAATAACTTACTTTTGCATAAACTTGCACGAAACCCAATTTCAAATCAAATAAAATTCTTTTTTCTTTATTGATTCATTACATGTAATTACAAACATTTGAACTTTTGAACCTTATATAACCCAACTATGACGCCGGTATATGATTCTATCAAGTTCACATTTCACTACCTAATTTGTTACATGCCAAAAATCACCAATTCAATAGTATAACTCACCTTTTTTTGATTTACACTTCTCTAGGAAAGGGGAAAGAGAATTAGGTAATACATAGTAAACCCTATTAACCTCCTCATAAGATGATTAGCACATGGATTAAAGGCTAGAGAAATCCTAATTGTCCTCTTATTTTAACTTATGTTGGGTGCACAAGTTGAGCCATCGTCGGTAGGCAGCCCTTGGAGTGCATCAAAGGGTCTCACACTATAACCTCTCGATGATCCCGAAGTTGCCATTTAAACCCCTTCATACCCTTCAATTATCAACATTAAATCCCTTAATTTTAAGTCGCCACTTCTAATTATTGAGCCCAAATTTGTTTTTGGTTATACTCAACCTGAAAAAAGTGAGGAAAAAAAAATAGTGTTAGAAAAAATGGCAACTTTTTCTTCATCTCATTGCGCATCTTCATCTTCTTCATTCTATTCATCATATTCTTCTTCATCATCAAAATCACGACATGGGGTTCTTGGAATGGTCAAAATTTCTTCGATTTCTAAGCAATCTGCCCAGAAAATCTCTGTATCTAAACAACAAATTAGAACAAATTCAAATTCAAACGCCGTTCTTATGCAAGATGGTTAGCTTCTTCAATCTTATCTATGGTTTTTGCACTAATTCTTAATTGGGTTTTTATAATTTATGGTTTTAGTATTAATATTCTTGATTGGGTTTCAATGAAATTATAATTTTTTAGCACAAATCCTTAATTGGGTATTTCATATTTTTGTTGGAATTGAATTTGAATGTTTGCACTTGATTCTTAGATTAAAACATTGATTGTATTTTTTGGGTTTATTTAAGAATGAAATTCTACTGAAATTCTTTTTTTTTTCCTTTTTTTTTATATATATGTGTATATTATGTTAATTCTTTTTTTTGCACTAGCTAAAAATAGGATTTTTTAAAAGTATTTATTTTTGGTTAGGTGCTGTTGCCACAAAAATAATTCCTGTTGAAGGTGAGGATACATCAGTAAAGACATTGAAAGATGGGATATTATCAGCCACATCTTCTCAGGAAAGTAATGATTTGTCTAAGTTTGATGTGAACAAAGATGAGTCAACTGTCAGTATCACTGTTGTTGGGGCCTCTGGAGACCTAGCCAAGAAGAAGATATTTCCTGCACTTTTTGCTCTTTATTATGAAGATTGTTTGCCCAAGGTTTGCATCATATCATTTTTATTGGACAATATATTATACAGACATATCTTATCATATAAGTTATAAGTACTTTTGTGTAGGATTTGTGATGTAATATGTCTGGTTATGCAGCACTTTACTATATTTGGTTATGCAAGAAGTAAGATGACTGATGATGAACTTAGGACTATGGTTAGCAAGACTCTTACTTGCAGGATTGACAAGAGGTACCAAATCCTATACATGTTTGTTAGTGTTTTATACTACTTATGAGTGTTAGGGGGTCATACTGCTTGTTTTAGTTTTACGGAGTAGTTATAAATTGAATTTCGATTGTCAGGGAGAACTGTGGTGAAAAGATGGAGGAGTTTCTGAAGAGATGTTTCTACCAATCTGGTCAGTATGATTCTACAGAAAACTTTGTGGAGCTAGACAAGAAACTCAGGCAACATGAGGTATCACTTATTATGTTGTGCTATGATTCCTTACATTGCTGAGTTTTCAAAGAGTTATGTATCCAAATGTAAGCATGGCTTTTAAATAGTTGTTTGTTATGCTGATTGATGAGACTGAGTAGTTTTCTCTCCTCGTCGATGACTTAGTTGCTGCCCTTGCTGGTACATTGTATCTTAATTTTTGACAAAGTTAACTTGCTAAAAAAATATGAGCATGATTCAAATTTCAAAATGATTTATTTCATAGATTGTATGTGATGTTTGCCTTTTCTTGTAGTATACTGTAGATAATTTAGGGACATAATTATGTACACTGACAAATATTAGGGACTGCATGATGTGATCTACTGATAATTACATGGATTCTATGTTCAGTCATGTAAGCAATGCTGGTTAGATTCTTGTACGTCAGCTTTGTGAATGTCTTAGGCAGAGGTGCAAAGAAAAACCAAGCACTGGTTGGAATATCTTAAGATTTTAAACATTGTGGTTGATTCGTTTTTGTCTCATGCTATGATACTAATCTTATCTTATGACTTATAGAACCTACTTTATTGTTAATGTAGTGTCCAAACATGAAAAGGGTTGATGTGCTGATACTGACACTTACAATAGTGTAGATTTTTTCTTTATTGTTTTTAAATAGCAGCCTGCAAGAACCTTGTCAAGAATGTCTACACTATTGTCATGAAGATTGCATGTTTAGCCTTTATTTTGACCACAATACCTTCAATAATGTAGGCTGGGAGGATCGCTAATCGACTCTTCTATTTGTCAATTCCACCAAATATCTTCATAGATGCTGTGAGATGTGCAAGTTTATCAGCATCCTCTGCAAATGGGTGGACTCGGGTCATTGTAGAGAAACCTTTTGGTCGGGACTCAGAGTCCTCTGCCGCTTTGACTAGTGGACTTAAGCAGTACTTGAATGAAGATCAGATTTTCAGGTGATTGTTTTTGACTGGATTTTAGGGCTGCTCTTACAGGAAAACACATATGATCAATGACTGACCTATTGTTTTTTCTGCATACAGGATAGATCATTATCTTGGGAAGGAACTTGTTGAAAACTTATCCGTTCTGCGCTTCTCCAACCTTATCTTTGAACCCTTATGGTCAAGGCAGTATATAAGAAATGTTCAGTTAATATTCTCTGAGGATTTCGGCACTGAAGGGCGTGGAGGGTATTTATTCAGTGACCTTTTTACTATACTCCGTACATTTTGCATTTGCTATCATGTGCTCAATTTTCTTCCTTTTGGCGGCAATTCAGGTATTTTGATCATTATGGTATAATTAGAGACATAATGCAAAACCATTTGCTACAAATCTTGGCTCTATTTGCCATGGAAACTCCAGTAAGCTTAGATGCAGAAGATATCAGAAATGAAAAGGTTTGCTGTCAAACTTGTTATTTGGTACCTTGTTATTTTGGGTCATGTGACTCATGTCTGACTGTGTTTAAATTCTCGGCCTCTTATAGGTAAAAGTTCTTCGGTCAATGAGGCCATTGCAACTTGATGATGTGGTAATAGGACAATACAAAAGTCACACTAGAGGAGGAGTCACTTACCCAGGATACACAGAAGACAAGACTGTACCTAAAGACAGCTTAACCCCAACATTTGCTGCAGCTGCCTTGTTTATCGATAATGCAAGATGGGATGGGGTGCCTTTCCTTATGAAGGCTGGAAAAGCGCTTCATAACAGGAGGTATTAGTTCAGAAATTAATACATAGCTTGGTTCCCAGTCTGATATGTGCAGTGAACAAAATATAATTTTTTTTTTTTTTTTTTTTTTGAATACTTATGGAAACTCATTGTTTTCTTCTTTCAGCGCTGAGATCAGAGTTCAATTCAGGCATGTACCTGGAAATTTGTATGCCAAAAATTTTGGGTCAAATCTTGATCAATCGACAAATGAACTTGTTATCCGAGTACAACCTGACGAAGCTATTTATTTGAAGATCAATAACAAGGTTCCTGGTTTGGGAATGAGATTAGACCGCAGCACTCTCAATCTTCATTATGCTGCAAGGTATATTAATCACTTGCATTCAGTACATTCATTGGAGATACAATTGTTTGCATCTTGAAAACATTGTACTCCCTCCGTCCCTTATTGATAGTTCCTTATGGGCAATTTTCACGGGAATCAATAAACATAAATACAAGTAGTAAAAGTACATTGAAAAGGTAATTTTACATTGGGTATGCAAAAAAGTAGAGAGAGAGTAATAAAAGTACATGGAAAAACAAAATTTACGTGGGAAAGTTAAATTTGCACAAATATTGTTGCAAATTGGAGAGAATTTTGGTGAAAATTTGATATTAATGGTACTTGAAAAAAGCAAATGGGACTATCACTTTGGGACTAAAAATTGGCCATAAGGGACTATCAAAAAGGGACAAAAGGAGTAATATTTATTAAAAAAAATTTAATTCTTGGAACACAAACTCACTAGTTGCGTTAAAATCATGTGCTATTGCTTAATTTCTGATATGGTCATCGGTAAATTAAGAGTCCAAAGTTGGGAACTGATTGCTTACTGCTGATACTGATGTTGTGAAATAGCTAATACTTTAAGGTCAATATTTGACCTTTGCTTACCACTGATAATGATGTTGTAAAATAGCTAGTACTTACGCCCTATCTTTGACCTTTGTGATGCAGGTATGCTAAAGAGATTCCCGATGCCTACGAGAGGCTTCTACTTGATGCAGTAGAAGGAGAAAGGAGGCTGTTTATCCGCAGTGATGAACTTGATGCTGCTTGGGCGCTCTTCACACCGCTTCTGAAAGAGCTAGAGCAGAAGAAAGTTAATCCTGAATATTATCCCTATGGAAGCAGGGGTCCTGTTGGGGCACACTATCTTGCTGCCAGATATAATGTTCGATGGGGCGATCTTGGATTAGAGCAGTGAGTTTTCAATTCTTTTTTATATTGCTATAATGGTGATTGGCTGAGAATACATCACTATTTACCCACTAATGCTTGAGGGAACCATTTGCGTGACAAAATAGGATAGTAAAACAGAAGAATGGACACTTCTATGAGAAGGAGCCTCCGATCAGCCTTTGGTCTATCTTTTCTGTGGTCCATGTTGGACGATTTTATTGTGAAATAAATGGTAGACTAGGAATTGGGTCAATTCTTTGCTGTACAAAAGCCTTTGGAAACTTGGCATATTGTACTGTCGTTTTAGTATGTTGCAGAATAATTAGATTTATGAAGAAGATGTTGCAAGTATCCAGTGAATGAATATGTCTGGCCCCTATATCCTTGGCCCTAACAGAGAACAAATCATGATAAACCTATCTTAAGGCTAAGCAAAATAATCAATCTTGGGGTTTTTCTTCTATGTATGCAACCTTGTTTAGTCAAGAAAACTTCAAAACAAACCTTTTTATGTTGTCAAGAATGTCAAAATTGCCTTTGAGATTACTTTTTTAAGCCCTTCTTTGAGATGGATATATCATTTCTCGGCACAGAAAATCCCTGCTCTTATTTTCTTGCTACATCTTACTTAAATGTAACTTGTCTGTCATTTTTCTGGGCTGGAGCAAAACTATCAATCATTTGGTAGATTTAAGAGGTATACTTGTTATTACTGGTAAGTGAATCAAGATATCTAAGAGCATGGATTGCCTGAGCTAAAAAAGACAAGGCAAACAGCTTGCTTAGATAGCATAGGCTGTTGAGAGATGCATGGCCAGTTGTTTCTTTGATTCTTTCTTGGAATGTAAATACTTCTACCAACTTTTTGAGGGATAACTCTACTGCATATCGTTATGGTCCTTATGGACGCTTTTGGTACGAGGTTATAACTAATAATGGAAGTACTGTATGATTTTACGTATTAGTGCTCCTCGGTTTCCCTTGATTCCTTGATAATACTCTATATATGTATTCTCCATTAATGCAGAAAGTGTGATACAATCTGAGTTATGACATACGTTCTCGGTCTCATTAAGATTTTCCCATATATTTTAATCTACTTTTTCAGAGTTAGTTCCTTTGAAAGCATGAGAAGTTAAGGTGTGATCTTTATTTAGCAGTGCCATAGTGTGATAACGCCACATTATTCGCAATGATGAAGGGCGTAAAGTGGCATTATCGAGTTTCGACCATGAGATCTCATTCACATGCAGTTTAATGATCAAGCAATCAATCCAAAGATTGAGTTGTTGACTTTCATAACAAATTAAACATAGGCTAAAAAGAATTGTAGGATGCCTAATTGCCTAGATTGTTTACAACACCCACCATATTTGTAATTTTGTAATTTTTTTCCCTCACTTTTCATTCCTTCACCAACCTTGACATCACCTCTACAAACTCCTACTTGCCACACCCACAAACCTCTATGTTCATATTTTTTTTCTATGGCTCTCACTACATTGCCGATGGCAATCGTGAGCGATCACCTCTGCTACCAGTCTTCCACTCGTTTCACCTATAATGTTGAGAGTAATTCTTCACCGTTTCCTGAAACGACAAATCAAGTGTAAACCATGAAATAAGTTCATGCTTCACGCATAAAGTTATGTTCATCGTGTATGGTATTGAATAAATAAGTAATCTTAAGTTCAAGTAATGCTAGCATCATTAATCTGTTGGCAAGATTTATATGTAAAAAAAAAAAAAGTCGATTAAAAAATAGGTAAATTTATTCTCGTATTTTCTACATATTTATTGCTAAATTTGCTTCATAGAACATGTGTTAATCGAATCATGATATTTATTTTTACTTTGCATTTTTTTTAAAGATAAAAAAGGGAAAAAGAATTAAAGAGGAAAATAAAAGAGAGGGAAAAGGGAATGTTTGGTTGTGTGATGGTAACAAGAAAAAGAGTGATAATGGAAGCTTAGGAAAGAAGTGAAAATAAAACCTTAACATTTGATAGTTTGATATGTCATCTGTAAGCTTTCTGTAGGTCCTCTATTTGTCTCAACTGAAGGGAACAATCTTGCCAAAGCAAATCCAAATTAAAGAGCCTACCCTCTACCCACTCAATACAAATAAGTTAATTTTGCTGCTTTCAGAAATCAACTTCAGATCTGACACAATTTTATTGCATGAAAACATAGGAAATCAACCTAGCATTCAACATACACTTGTTAAAGGTTTATGTGTAAACAATTACCAGTTTTTTTATGTACACTCGGGTAAATATGAATATACATACACTCATATTTAGATATATTCAAATTTTTACTTATGATCTACTGTGTATTCTTTAAAAAAATAATCTTACAAGTTTCATTCTAATTTTTCAATAATTATTAATTGAGCAGAAATTTCAGGCCAAATCTAGATAAACCCTGCTTATCTTTGAAAGGTCAGTACACATTTTGTCAATTATGATTGACAGATACTAGAATTAAGACTCGTGAGCTGCATGGAGGCATGGAGCTCTACTTGATTGTCATTCATTCCCACCAATCTATTAAAAGAAAAGGCTTTAAAAAAATTAAAATAAAAAATAAAAAATTGGCACTTTGTTGATTTTTTTTAATTTGTCACTAATTTGTTGTCTTGTGTGGCAATTTACTTTTAGACACTGCTAATTAACATGTGGGAGTGGACATAATTATCTAACATTTGAATAAAGTTAAAGAGTAATCTTAATTATTTATTTATTTGTATTTCAATTTTAATCTTGTAGCCAAACTAAAATATATACTCTATATTATACTTATTAGTTTCCCAAAAGATCAATTTTTATTGTTCATCTACTTTATTTGATTAAAGCTTAATCAAATCGATCGTATGATTAAATTTGAATGATCAGGCTGAAATATTACAAGTAAAATAAATATTTAATATTTTCTCAGATATATGAAAGAAGAGAACGATTATTCAACATTAAACAACTTAACTTTGTAATTTATCTACGTGTCAACTCATCACTTTTATCACTTGAAGCGAAAAAAAATTCGTATTAATTAAAGATTACAATCTAGTAGTCACTTCGAAAGTGCAAATTTCAAACTTTTCATCGACGATGTCGCATCTTTCCCCATTCCTGCCCTAAAATCCAAAACTGATGTCAACTTATTGTTACACAAATCTGTCCTATGTAATTAAAACCATTATAAGTTTGTTACATGAGTGATTGAGAAAAAAGATACTTCTCCCTCCCTCCATTTCATGAGGGGGTTAAAATTGCAACTTCACAAGGAAAGTCACTTCAAATTTCAAAACAAGACACAAAGCAAATACTGATTGGTTTGAACACACATACACACAAAACACAGTAGAAAATTTTGAAGAAACTGCCTTCCTTGACAAATACCCACCTCTTTTCCTTCTTTCTTCAATCAATCTTCTCAAAAAACAACAGCAATTTCCTTATTTTCTCTCTCCTCAACTTAAGAAAATAAGGCTTAAAAACCCATCAAAAACCCTCTTTCTATGCAGCCATATCCCCAAGAAAACATGCCCACTTTCCTAAATCATCAACAACAATCAACAAATCCTTATTTAGAGATGAAAGAATCTCAAATAATAATCCCAAATTCCAACCAAAACCAAATTATTAGTACTAATCATGAAGATAACAACAACAATTTAATCACCAAAAAACAAAACCCACCAAAAAGAAAATCAAACAAAGATAGACATAAGAAGGTTGATGGCAGAGGAAGAAGAATCAGGATGCCTGCTCTTTGTGCTGCTAGAATATTCCAATTGACTAAAGAATTAGGCCATAAATCTGATGGCGAAACGGTTCAATGGCTATTACAGCATTCAGAACAAGCGATTATTGCAGCGACTGGAACTGGAACAATACCAGCATCTTTCACATCAACATCAGGGTCCTCTGTTTCAGAACAGAGGACCTCTGTTTCTTCTGGCATTGTTTCTGGATTTTCTGGGGGTTTAAGTTTAATTAATGAAAATTTGGGACGAACCCATTTTCAAACTGGATCATGGGGATATGGGTCTGGTACGGTTCATGTACCGGACCCGGGTTTTTCGAGTTCGAGCTCGAGTTTGATGAGGGAGAATTTGGAGTGTAGGCCTAAAATGGGAGTTCATCGAACAATGGGAATGTCAAATTTGAATATGGGGTTTATGAATTTTGGTCAACAACAACAACAAGGGAGGGATAGTTTGGAGCTTGGTTTATCACAAGATAATGTTAATTTTGGTGTATTGAATTATGGTGCATTTAATCAAATGTATCAACAATTTAGGCAGAGCAGAGAAGAAGCTGGTTTTAGCTGTGATCAACAGGAGAAATTTCTTGATGATGGTAGTTCTCAATGTTCAAGATAAATCCTTGCAAAGATCATAACTTCTTTTTTTTTTTTTAATTGGTGAGTTTTATTGATCCAGGTTAGTGTGAAAACAAGAAGTTAATCTTGTGTCATCAATGTAAGAATTTTTTTATTTTTCTATTCTGGAAAACTCTTTTTTCTCCCTTTTTTGGGTTATTAAAGGTTCTTAATTTTGTAAGTGGGAGAGGAAAATGAGGTAGAAGTTTGAACTTTACAGATTTGATTTTTTTTTTCCTTCAATTTTTGAATTAGGTTCAGTTTGATGTACTGTACTAATATGGTAAGAATTAAAGTAAGATGTGTGTAATATAGTGAGGTGCAAGTACTTGTAATCTTGTATGTGATGAATTTGAAATGTTGAACAAAAATGGAAATTGTAGTGGTTTGAAGTTTTGAACTTTGGAGGAAATGTTTGATTTGGGGTTCATGAAATTCAGTGATACCTTGTTAATGTTGGTAAAGTTACGCTGACCATATGAGTTGCTCACTCTTAAATTCTAATTGGTTCTTTTTTGAAATGATCAAATTCTCATTGTTTAGCAAGTAGTATACTAGTATTGGCACCCAAAGAGAGAGATATCTCGTCAAACAAAAAAAAAAAAAAAAAAAAAAAAAAAAAAAAAGAGTGAGAGAATCTGTTACACCATTTTTACTTTACCCTTAAGAATTAAGTGTGCATTTAATTTTCCTTAAGTTAAAAGGAAGTCATTAATTATATTGATTGTGTTAATTAATAGGATGAAACCATTGTTAGAGCTCTCACACAGTCACACCTAGAGTTGACGATGAGTAAGAATTGTGAACGAGTGATTTAGTGAGGACACGAGTCACACGATAACAAACCACATACCATACGACACAATATTGTGTATATTGGATCATACATTGTGCCTTTGATTTTACAGGCGGACAAACATTAGCACAAACTTCTACATAACAAAGTAAGAATAATGTGCTTGGTCATGGTGTTATACGGCATGGCCAACGGAGTCCTCGTGCCAAATGTTGCCAAGAATTTCAAATTACGTGCCAGGTGGCATGGCGATCAGGAAAAACGGAATTATAAATGGTTACTCCGTAATGTTTTCCTATTAGCATTAGCTACATGTCTACATGATACTCCGTAATGGTTTCCTATTAGCTACATTTATATAGGAAATCGTTGGGCCATCTAAACCAGACTACTCGAGTGTTTCTGATTGGGCCAATTCTATAAACTTGGACCAGTTGTAGGCCCAAAATCTGTCTATTATGTTGAATGGATTGTGGAATAGTTTAGGCCCATAAGCCCAAAGGAAGATAGACCCATAATTATTGTGGTGCTAGTTAATAGTCCAAACTAGAGTGAATTATGTCTCCAAACACGTTTTCTCAAGATTATTTTGGATGATCAAGTATCGTTTACTTATGGTCTGAATAGCTACACTAAGTTGATAGAATGTTGGTTGTTAATAGGTTTGGAAAATACACATGAACCTGTATTCATCCTATAAGGCTTCGTGACAACCTCGAAAGTACGTTCTTATATGTCCTAGGCATGATGTATGGGTTTTAGGATGGACTGAATCGCTTTGATCTTTTAGATGACTAATATTAATCCGGGATGAGAATGACCTTGGAAAACTTAATCAAGAATTCAAGAGCATTGACGACACAATACTATGAACACTTATCACAATACACAAGCAAGCTACCAAAATGACGACTTATACCTATTTGATTGAATTTAATCTTTAAGATTAAATTTAATCATTAATCATCAAACGTTAAAATTTAAATAGAAAATAAAAAATCATGCGTAGTATTCATTACAAACTTATTTATGTTATTGTAGGACAATTTTAAAGCGATTTTACGTATACTCGTATAATACTGCCTCTGCCTATAGTGTAACACAGCCGTGTAAAAGCTGGTACAATTAGTGCAAAGAGAGGTCATCATCAACTGCTAACTACTACGTAAATCACATTTCATTCCTAACTAGGACGGTTAGATTACAAGAATTAACAACCAAGTATGTACTCGATCTACATATGATTCACATGGAAAATAGTTGCTGTATCTTACAATCAACACTAATAAGCAAAAAGCGTACTGTACTAATTGCACAACCAAGACATTATAGGTACATTACGAACTTACGATGCATATATTGACATATTGTTGCTGGTAGCGTTATGTACACATCAATGTAGTAGGCTCCATCAATTTTTTTGTTAGGAGAAGAATAGATGAGGCCAGGGTTCGTGCTAATAATTGATCGAGACAAATCGAGTAGTACGTATTACATAATCATATACATAATTCATGCACCACGATGAAGTAAAGAGTGTAATTAAAATACCTACTAACCCATTGCACGAAGTAATTAATAAGATCATCAATAAATTTTTTGACATGAAATTAGGATTGAATTCCTAATTAATATGAACAGATCGAATCGGGAATGATACAGATACTCAATTCACCATGACGAAGTTGAGAATGTTGGTACATTATTGTACATTGTACTGGTTGTACACCCTACTTGCACGTTGTGGTTGAACTAGCTAGTTACAATGTCATTTAAAGCTACGGAGTACATTTTAATGTTGCCATGAAAAGTAATTTTTCTTTTGGAATTTCTTTGTTATCTTTTAATTTCTACTATCACATAAAAATTCAGCTTGTCTTTCCCTTTTCTAGCTATCCACACATTCATTCAAGTTTGAAGAAGTACGGAGTACTATAATAAGAAGACCGATCTTACATTGATATCAAATGGAACTAGTTTTTAGCATAGGTTCGAACAATGCTCTGAGTTACTACATTAATTCCATGATTGAAATCTTTTTTTATATCTAATTTTGACAGCATGACATATAATATAGTGATAGCTTATTGACCAATATAATACTTTTCGTTTTTAAATTTAAGATTGTAGGTTCAAATCCTGTATAATCTATATTTTTAAGCACGTGAAATGAAAGACTCGATCACTTGAAAAGGGTGCCACACTGCCACGTGACATGTAGGCTTGTTTATGAACGTCTTTTAATGTGTAGTATAGATTTGGAAGTATGTATTGATCTATACAATGCGATTTTATATAGCCTTACGTTTCTAAGCTAGTCTATGTTACTTTGCAACACTTTTTCATACGACTCAACGTTTAACTCCTCACAACGCCACAATATAATGAATATAATCCTATTTTCAATATTACTCATACTCTTCATTAAATTGTCGATAATACATGTCAGATTCTTCTCCCACATAAGTACGGAAATTCAGTCTCTTTCATTTTTTTATTTTGGAAAATTTAACAAAAACTAACAATTGAAGACATTTAGACATGGACTTGTGTCAGACATGAATACCTAGCTCCAAATAACTAGTGCTATCAAATTTCAAACTGAAACCGTTTAACTGTCCAAAATCAACCGACCCAAATAAGAACCGAACCGATTAAAAACCGATTTTGTAAAACCGAAAATCGACCCGAACCGTATTTAAGTAAACCCGAAACCGAACTAATCCGAATAATGTCAAACCGTATAAGAACCGAACCCGTTAACAAACCGAACCGAAAAAGAACCGAACCGTTTATAACTCGAAACCGTTTCCAACCCGAAACCGTTTGAACCGAGGTAAAAACCGTTTACACCGAACCGTTAATAAACTGTGACCCGTTTGCACCGAACCGTTTATAAACCGAACCACTTACAAACCGAACCGTCTATAAATCAAACTGTAATTTCGATGTCACGATAACTCATCAAATCATGATTATGACTCATCAATTAGATGATTGAATAAGAAGCAGCTAATAACGTGATAGTAAAACAATAATAATTCATTAATACACTAAACTTTTATAATCTACGTTACTTCATAATAAACTAGTAAGATTAATATGACTAAACTTGAAAATAACATATGTATTTTTAAAATCGATGAGAATTTGTATATAATATATAATGCCTAATGCCTAATATGAAGTGATGAAGTCTCGGCTTGATATAAAACTTGTTAACCAGCAAAAGGTTAGCAAGTACTATGAAATTTCAAACCAAAATCGTTTAACTGCCCAAATCCAAACGACCCGATCAAAAACCGACTTTTTAAATAAAAAACCGTTCCGAACCATAATTTAGTAAACGTGAAATAAAACTGATCTGAATAACGTTAAACCGTATAAAAGGCAAACCAAAATAAAACTGAACCGAAAAAGAACCGAACCGTTTTCAACCCGAAACCGTTTGAACCGGTGTAAAAAACCGTTGACACCGAACCGTTAACAAACCGCAACCTGGCTGCACCGAACCGTTTACTTCTCGAACTGTTTAGAACCCGAACCAAATTAAAACCGGTCAAGAATAAACCGAAATCGAATCGAACCGATAACTATTTAAACTGAACTGAAACCGGCCTGTGAGACACTTAAATCGATTTCAAACCGACCTGATTTAATACCGAACCGATTTCAAACCGAACCGAACCCGAACTGTCAAACCGTTTTGACAGTGCTACAAATAACACATCATCTATCCCACTTTTTATAGAATTTGCTATATACAATCGGGTATACCTTACACGTAATTAATCCAAGCTAAGATTAATTTTTGCTCTTTATTTGATGATTAAATGAAAAAACAATCATCAAAATGAGTATTAAACACGTCAAGCGTGATGGAAACATGGTTGCTCACAATTTGGCAAGAGTACTCCCATTTGGTATAGAGCAGATTTGGGAAAACTGTACCCTCCCTAATGTAGCTTCATTTGTACTCATGGATGCTTTGATTAATGAGTAATTTGCTTGCTTCCCCTCAAAAAAAAAAAAAAAAAAAAATGGGTGTACGGTACACCCGAATGTATATAATAATATCGCGACTCTTTATAATCTAGCGATAAAGCGGCAACACTGCTGCACTGTTAGTCTGTTGGTGTAGAAATTGTTACAGTACTAGATAGCACTGTAGCAGGACGATCGGTGTGTGATAACTGGTTTCATCTAGTAGTTTGTGGTGCACACAATTAGACGTGACCACTGTGTGAAACTGTGAATGATATTCATCAGAAAAGATACTGGTCGATCGAGATCTTGCAAGATTAATAAAATGAAACAATTGTAAATCTATTTCCCCCAAAGTAATGCTAATTGCTATATATAGTTCCTAAATTATGTACTTGTACAACTTTCATCATTAGATCATGAGCAATGGGGCATACATACTTAATCATAATTATTGCTTTGCAAAGTTGAAACAATTTTATACTCCTTAATTGAATACAAAGCAGTGGCGGAGCCACGGTGGGTTCAAGTG